TATGGAGGGAGAAATCGTCAGGCAGAGTAGAATCTCTTATGGTGAAGATCAAAGTATTTAGCCCATGTAGCAGGACCAAACAAGGCGTGGTACAAATTAGTATGAGAAGGGATGGTGCGAGACCGGCCGTGGCGGGGACGGTGAGAACTCTGAAGGATTAAAAGGCAGTCAATGAGTGATGGAGCCGTGCCAGGGAACAAGGTGGTCACCACTGGGGACTTGGGACTCTACCCTTCCACAGAGGGGAGCAGTCCGGTCTGGGCCCAATGAAGCAGGGGCTACAGAGCCTGGTCTTCCATCACAGTCCAACTCGGGGCCTAGTTTGCCCAGCCCATGAGCCTAGGCAAGAGATAGTGTCGTTGTCCATACGTTAATCATGCTAAAGAGTCTGGGGCCTGGAATCAAGGGATGCCACCTACCAGGGCAGCCAGAGAGGCCGAGCACGGGCCAGTGCAGGAAGAGGTGCATCGTCCCCAGCAGTGCTCCCATTTTTCAACAAAGGAGTCCTACTGCTTCGTCTATTCTCCCACACTGGTGCAAAGACCTCATTCCCCTTATCGCCCCAGCCTTGACACCCAGCCATCCACTCAGGGCAGCCCCTCACAGGCGACCCCTTCAGTGGGCGGTCCGATGATTCACAAGGCCCCCTATGTGATACCCATTGTTACGGTGCCCTCTCCTATTTCTTTCGTCTGCCTGTTTTAAGAGTCGTATCAGCTCTCCCTACTGATTCTCTGAGATACAGGGAGTCTGTTGGTATATGTGGCGACCAGATCGGCCGCCAGATAAGGGAGAAATTTACACAAGTTTGTAGGTAAAGGGGAAAGTGGCACCCTGATATAAATGAAAGAGTACCCCCCCCTACCTGCAGATCCGCCGTTTTGTAGAAAACGCTAGCCGTGTGCGGATTGGGTGACGTGGGTCACGGGCGACCAATCAGAGCCCGCCGTGACGTCACCGAGTGCCCCGGACGGCGCCAACGTCAGAGTTGACCTGACTGGAGGTGACAGGACGCGCCTCGGTCACTCGAGGATTTGAGAGCTCTACAAGCCTTATTCAGTGGATTAAACTAGCCATCGCAGCCCACCATCGTTACTGGAGACCCTGCGCTTCTGGGAAGCAAGAAAGAAGCCAAGTTCATTGAGCGGAGGAGTGCCAAACTTGGAAAATTAGTCGGCGACGACGCAGGGCGGCGCCGCTCGACACTGAGGGTCTGGAAAGGTGTGGCGGGCAGGCTTTGCTGTGACCGGGTTACATTTACTAAGGGTTTTGGAGGGACGACATAGTTCCTAGGACAAGGAGCAACGCCTTGAGGAAGGGACGAGTGTGTGAATATAGTGATTAGCTCAGTGCCCACTGGTGAACCAGGATTGGGATAGCCGAATCTCTGGGATTGGATCGGCGATGACGCGAAGGCTGCACGACACCTGAGGACTTGTGGAACGTTCCTGGATCGTCAAGGATCGACTCGGGAAGCGTGGGTACCTCACACCATTGAGGGACAGGCGTCGTGAGCCAGGAATGTAAGGTAGATCAAATTTCCCTCCCATTACCCCTTGTTCGAGTAGGCTAGATAGGCCACGATATTTGCATTTGCATGTTGCAGGATAGCATTAATGCTTTAGTAGTAGGATAGGCTGCAGGGCAGCTTGTGTCCAGGACTGTTGGAGAGGACAGTGCGCGTGGACGGCAGGACAGTGGAAGAAGAGGTGCCGACGTGGCGAAGAGGCCCTCCTGTGAGAGTGTGTGACTCCTGTCTAATCTGCCCAGTTGAAGGAGCGGTTGGAGGTTGTGAAAGTTGCTGACGATCTCCAGATTTATTATCCTTATGTTCATTTTCCTGTATTGCTTATAAGTGTATGTGTGATCATGTAATTTGTCAGTAAATTCACACATTTTATCAGTGTGTTTAAGTGTGCCTCCATTATTGTTATATTTCTCTATGAGCATACACGAGGGTTATCATAGTACCACCTAGGGAACGTCACGTTCTCTATAGAAGTTCTTATCGCCTGGAGAGTGGTAAAGCAGCACAGACTTATGGGAGAGTACCCTGGGCTGACAGTCCAGTGGCAGATCTACGGGAATAGCAACACTGGCAACAAATATAGAACACGCCCACTGAACTGCATCGCTGGGGTGCAGATACACTAACCCAGCTGGCGACCTTGTTAAGAAGAAGATAGAGAAGGCAGGCAGGAAAGAAGTTCCTGCAACCTTTTTGTCTGGCAGGCAAGACTCAGGGAAGTTATTGTTATAAGGTAAGCCTGAGTCTTCCTTCACTTCTCCACGGGTCTAGGCCGGAACTGTTAACAGCAGTTTCCCCGTGGTTGACTGAAGGGCTCCCAGGGTGAATCAGTGGCAACCCCCCCTTTAGTGTTGGGAGCAAAGACCTGCGGTGGTGGGCATTGCTGGTCCTCCCCTGTGGGACCAAGGAGACTCCGGTGAATCCCGGGAGTCGGAGGGGCTGAATATTCTGCCTTCTGAGCCCCTAGCAGCCGATTGCTAGCGGAGCCCCAGCCCACCCCCCGTGACACCATCCACATGTACAACACCCAAAGAGGGGTCAGAAGAGGGGCCGAAGGAAACCCTCCCGTCCCAGGGAGGTGTACGCGAGCCCCTCACCACAAGGAGACACCACGGAGGGGGCATCACCGTCTAGTTTCCCCAATGGCCACGGCTGCAATGCGTGACATTACGTCATGGGCCTAGCCGACAAGTTTAAGCCTACACAATATGACAAGACATTAGTGCATTGGACCATTCATAGATCTGACTGTTCCATAGGGATGCTTGTGGGGTCTGAAACAAGCCCGGCACACCATACCGTACAAGAGCATGCCTGACGTGCGTAACCCAGCTAGTATGGCCAACTAGTAGTTATCAATGAATAAATCCACAAGGGCCGTGTTGAGGGCTCAAACTTGCGTCCAGGACGATACCAGATGCACCTTAATCGACTGCACGACGAAATGGTATAAGAATTACACAAGCGGTTTGTGTCAGACACTGGGATCCGTGTGAGGGCAGCAGCAGCACTCCCGGTTGCAATTCTTAAAGCATGTCGTGGAACAATTATCGATTAAGGTACGTCTGGGATCATCCTGGACGTAAGTTCGAACCCTCATCACGGCTCCATGTGGATTTATTCTTTGATATATCCACATGGATATATCAAAGATATATCCAACTTAAACTAATAAATATGAACGTTATATCCACATGAATATATCCACATGGATATGTATACTTTGTATAGTAGTGATCACCTCGCGAGTCGTGATATGCCAACATCAAGTTACCCCACTGCACCTGTATTTAAGATAACCTAATTATCACTTTAGAATCAAGACTGAAGAACAACAGTAAAAAGAAAAATGCAAGACAAATGTCACAGGATACTAGAAAGAGCGGGATTAAGTTCAGTTAAATCAGGGCTGAGGAGGAACAGGTAAATCCAGCAAAGATGGTCAAGTCGAGAGGGTGCGGGTGAAGAGCACAGACTAGCCGCAGGGTGCGGGTGAAGAGCACAGACTAGCCGCAGGGTGCGGGTGAAGAGCACAGACTAGCCGCAGGGTGCGGGTGAAGAGGTAGTGCCGGGAAGGTGTGGTAGAGCATGGCCAAACCGCGGCACGCACCGTATCGGGAACACCCGAGGTAAATAAAGTGGCGGGAACTTCCATACCGAGGTCAGTTGGTTCTGCTACCGAGATACAGGAACAAGGACGGAGACGAGCTTCGGGAAGGACTGACGCCTTACAGGTTCACCTTCCTAACACAGGTGGGGGTATATGCAAGGTACCGTGCGACAGTCTCAGGCGGGGGAGGTAGAACGAGATTGGACGATACAAGGATACCTGGGAGGACGTATTGGCCTGGACGGTCATGCTTCGGGAAGGGCCGAAGATCGGGGGGGGGGGGGGGGAATGCGGGGAATAGGGCTGTGGAAGAAGCCAACAGCCCTATTCACTGTTAATATATATATACTTCAAATGCTCTTGACAATATTCCACTATAAACTTCCCATTAACCAAGTTCCGTTTGGATCGAATGGTTTGTAATTTTCACAAGCCTATCACATGCTCCTCTTGCATACTATCATGCAAGAGGAGCCACACATCCAAGGTTAATCCAATAAAATCAGCAGACTTCTAGATGTTACTACTGCTCGGCTTAGACTCGGTTACAAGTATCTCTGGGAATTCTCATTATCTGCCGATATAGACCTGACCAAATGTAAACTGTCAACAAAATTATTCGCACACCCTCCGTCACTATGTGATGGAGTGCGAAAAGATACGCGAATTTAGAGAATTCTATAACCAATGTTCCAGCGATGTGTCAATATTTCATTAAAAATGATATACCAGAAATTTTAGCCAAATATCCACAGTTTGCTAACTGTAGGTAGTAACCGATTGTAACCTATCCACCGCTGCCCACTGGATGGGGGGCGGTGTGCAGGACAAACATCAATTGTGACACTAGCTCTCCACATATGTCAGTTGCTTAATTTAGAACCTGTACTTGAGGTCTATCTCGAACCCATTGTTGATGTGACAACTTTTACTGAAATTTTTTAACTAGCTCATCAAGATTGTAACTTGCTTAGCTAAATGAATTATGGGGTTCAGTCCCTGAGCCCATTATGTGCCTCTGTAACCCTTTCCACTACCGCCCACAAGATGGGTATGGGGTGCATAATAAATGAACTAAAACTGCCAGACTAGGAGAAGCGACAAAATGCATGCAAATTAGAATTTTAGTTTGCCTTTGTTAATGTATCTCTTACCTTCTGTGATCGAGTACAATAACCGCCCAAGAACATATTTAATCCTTTCTATAGTCTAGACGAAAATGCATTGCCGCTAGAGGTGTTAAATCACTACAGTTAATAACCCGCCATGTACCATAGTAGCACCCTGACTGTGTACCAAAGTTATAACCACCACTACCAGTGTGTGGCGGTGTCTATGGTAGGAAATAATAACTATGCATACTTGTACTGGTAGTAAGGTCGACCCTCGGGAGGAAGGAGGTCACCCAGGGTCAAGTCCATCCTCCTCGTCTCATTCTTGATCAACTTCACTATGTCTGCCACCGACCTCTGCCCAACAGGGAAAACATTATTAAATACAAGAGCAGTTAAGAGTCATAGATTAGGTTACGAGTTACTATGGGCTAGAGACACATCCCATGTACACGGCACTCCACCTACAGGCCCGCCACATCTGCCTGACGCACTGAACGTGTTATAACATTTGCATGCTCAAATTTAGTTTTTTTTTGTCTAAATTTGTTTAAAAGGTTTCGTTTAGGGGCACTATAGTCGGTCTTCAAAGCACAGTTTATTTTAGACCCCCAAGACCCATACCATTAGAGGGGGGGGGGACGCTCTGTTACTGTCCCCAGGGTGCGGGACGGGACCCCCCCCCCCCGGGTGCGGGACGGTGCGGGAGGGTGCGGGACGGGACCCCCCGGGACCCCCCCCCCCGGGTGCGGGACGGGACCCCCCCCCCCGGGACCCCCCCCCAGGGTGCGGGACACGGGTGCGGGACGGGACCCCCCCCCCAGGGTGCGGGACGGGACAGGGTGCGGGACGGGACCCCCCCCCCGGGACGGGACAGGGTGCGGGACGGGACCCCCAGGGTGCGGGACGGGACCCCCCCCCCCGGGTGCGGGACGGGTGCGGGACGGGACCCCCCCCCCGGGACCCCCCCCCGGGTGCGGGACGGGACCCCCAGGGTGCGGGACGGGACCCCCAGGGTGCGGGACGGGACCCCCAGGGTGCGGGACGGGACCCCCAGGGTGCGGGACGGGACCCCCAGGGTGCGGGACGGGACCCCCAGGGTGCGGGACGGGACCCCCCCCCCCCAGGGTGCGGGACGGCCCCCCCCCAGGGTGCGGGACGGGGGTGCGGGACCCCCCCCCCCCCGGGTGCGGGACGGGAGGGTGCGGGACGGGTGCGGGACCCCCCCCCCAGGGTGCGGGACGGGACCCCCAGGGTATTTTACCCAGGAATTTACATCTGTAGTGAACCGACATTCTTCACCATCATGCACCTCTGACATTTGCATGCTTGTATTTATATACAAGAGTCCTTGCATTCTTTTTTCAGCCACAAGCACGTATATGGTTTTGGGCAAGTCCTTAATACTAACGCGCGCTAACACATTACAAAACAGTCTACTACTACTACTGTGTCAGTATTTGACAAATAGAATGCTTTAGGCAGTGATGTGGTGGAGGCTGACTCCATACACGGTTTCAAATGTAGATAGGATAGAGCCCAATAGGCTCGGGAACCTGTACCTCAGTTGACAGTTTAGAGGCGGGACCAAAGAGCCAGAGCTAAACCCCCGCAAGCACAACTAGGCGAGTATACACAGTAACACCCCTCCGGGGGAATAGCGGCTGAAACTCCTGGATACCTATTTACTGCTAGGTAAACAGGCGCATCAGGTTTAAAAACCTCAGGCCATTTGTTTCCGCCTCCGCCGGTGATCGAACCCGCACCCTTAGGAGTACGAACCCCGAGTGCTGTTCACTCAGCCGTCAGGCCCCATATAATACAATATAATACACCAATACTTTAGATGCGCGGAGACTTTCCCCGCTGTAGTGGGAGTCTAACCAGGGCTGTAAAGTGCCCCTTACACTCCCCCACAATAATGACTCAACAACTAGGGCGGCGTCACCTGGTAGGCTGAGTTGTGGAGGCTGGCCTGTGGCGTCACTCTGGCGAGCACACCCACGGCCAGAGGCGTCCCCGTCAGCTGGTGGTGGGTCCGGCGCAGGTAGTGCTGCGCCTCCAAGTTAGATTTTCGCCCTGTTAAGTTAAGTTATCAATATTTATAACAAACCAATTTCTTATTAAGTGATAGTTTAATGTCTGACATTTGCAACGACCAACTTGGAGGGATGGAGGACATTCTTCAATTGGTGCAACAAACTAAACAAGAAAATCTAACATCAAATTTCGAAAAAAATATTACTGCTTGTGTAAGAGAATTTCCCTAATGACCTATAAATTTGGATTTCTTTTAACGTGAATTTTATATTCAAGCAACCATGAATTGTGTGTATTACTAGTGGCTCTATTGAATAATATTCTGAATTACCAGACATATCCTATGGTCAAATAGCACCATAGACTTCGGTAAAGCTAGTCTTAGATTGTTAAAACCGTTATGTTACCATGTTAGGGTCGGATGTGCTTGGTTTTAAAATCCATTGGTGAACCCCTATACGACTTGTCCCATACACAACATATGGAACATTGTACCAGGTCTCTTGGGCAAGACCAGGCTCTACCTAAACCCCTTCCCCTGCCCCCCCCCCCTCCTCTCCACTCCCCCAAAAAGCTAGCTGACCATTCCACTCTGGGAAAACACTATCCAAACCGGTACTTATCACTATTTATACCCCCTTATCTCTAAAACCCTGATCATATTTAACTTCCATATATAGCAACATGGGCAACATTGGTTTGGTGTTGGGGTTAACTGCTACCGGAAGGTTATCAAGGTAATACCACCAAGCAAGGATACTCCAATCCTGGATATATATTCCAGGACCAGTAGTAGTAGTAGGCATCAGTCTCGGGAGAGTATGGAGTCGAGGTCTGGTTGCCGGTCTGGAGTGGCCCCTCCAGGGAGCAAAGCCAAGGTAGGTTGATACCGAGAAGCCGTTACCCAAGCAGCAGGCCTCCTTCCTCTCCACTGTGTGGAAGGCCACGGTTGGTCTGCGAGATCAAATTCCTGGGCTGAAGTATACTATATACACCAAAACGCGAGTTACAGCTGTGTACATGTCGCTTGTTCCGTTCCGTGCCAAGAACCCTGGAGCAGGCAAGCAGGGGATGGAAGACGGGGGCGAGGATGCAGAAATCTTGAGCTAGGAACTGGAAACTAGTCGAACAGGGGAGAAAGTTTGTAATTTATGAAGATTAAGCCACCCAAGAGGTGGCACGGGCATGAATAGCCCGTAAATCGGTCAGAAGCCCAACTTACTTGTCTGTGTCGTTTGTTATAGATTCAGCTACTGGGAACAAAAAGTTCCAATTAGCACGGGCTATGGTGAGGCCGTAGTGGACTTACCTGGCACAGGAGCGGGGCTGTAACTTGTGGTTCCAGTGGCCCAACCACAGGTGTCTATGGCCCAACCACCATTTATAAGACTTGCAGCCGACACTGTGGTAAGGTGGACTTCACATGGTAGGTAGCTGTTGTGTCGTGCAGGAGGCCGGGCTTATCGTCGCGGGTCTGGTGGAGTTGTTCTTTACTATATTTCGTCGATGGTCTTTTTCACCGATTTTTTTCAGGTTCTGATCTTCAGGCTCGAAGAAAGTGGCGACTTAAACATTGAGGTGGAGGTGCCTGGGCCGGTGCCAGCTCCAGCAGAAGATGTGGTTTTTCTCTAGGTTGGTTATGAATGCTTGTCTTCGGAGATAACCAAGAGAGATTGGAGGATGATTGCCATTGCAAAGCAAACATCTGTGTTTCTGACGTGCAGACAATAATGGTGATCGGCTGAACCGAGGCTACAGTCTTGAGTTTTTGTTTAAATTTGCTGGTGGAGTGGGTGTACTCGTAGCACCGGAGGCACTGGTTGACGTTGTAGAGACGTTCCATCTTCACACTGAATGACGGAATGTGGCTGACGAAGCTGTAGTCAATTTCTGGTGGCCAGGATAGCCGAAGCGATTTTCTGGAAGGTGAGCGTCAAGGAGCGGAATTTGTTGAATTGAGTTTGATGGGACTGCAAGCTCAGGTTGGAGTCTTCGAGGTAGGTCATAAAAACTTATCTGCGTCACCTTGTTCCACGGGATGAGTTTACTAATTATGACAGTTCGAGCAGCAAGGTACTGCCGTGGGAACTTGAGATGGTGGTGGCGAGTCTCGCTAAAACCACACCGGGGAGACTGCGGGTTGTCGACATCCTGCTCGCTTGAGAAGTAAAAGACTATGTCCGTGCCTTCCTGTCCATGTCGTTAAGTGTTACGCCGCCGACATCTTTGAGGAGCTTCAGGAGGGAGGTCTGAGAACGCCTGCTCGTCGAGGGGAGTACCCCGGACCTTGTGACGCAAGGTAGTGATCTCGCTAGTGGACGAGGCATTACTTTATGAAATATGACAGGTGACATGTCAGTCATTATAGTACATTTTAACATCTGATTAGCAAGTTAGCAAGAGACTTCACAGATGTTATCCAGCATATTTGAGAGGAAGTTCAGTGTTCAGCTAACATTCAATCTCAATACTAAAATGTATTTAAAAGCCTAAATAAACTGTCGGGAAAACTTACGAGAAAGCAAATTTTTGCAGCTCCTTGGAATACCAAGGGGGGGGGGGGTGTCTATGGATGAGTAACAAAAACCAGGCAGGTTACTTTGCCTGCCTGCTTTCAGCGCATCTGTTATCTCTCGTGTCCAAGCTCTTCCTCCACACTATACCGAGTGCCTGTGCTTCTGGCACTTTGCATTTCTTTACGAATATTTAATTCCAGACTCATGGAATTCAATATTCATAAAGAAATGCAAAGTGTTAGTAGCACAGGCACTCGGTATAGTGTGGAGGAAGAGCTTGGACACGGGGGAGATACCAGATGCACTTAAAATAGCAGACATAGCCCCTCTACACAAGGGAGGGAGCAAAGCATTGGCAAAGAATTATAGACCAGTTGCACTAACATCCCACATAATAAAAGTATTTGAGAGAGTGATCAGGAGTCAGGTCACTAGAGTCATGGGAAACCAATGACCTCCACATCCCAGGCCAACATGGATTTAGAGCGGGAAGATCATGCCTCACAGCTACTTGACCATTACGACAAAGTCACTGAGGCTTATGAAGAAAAACAGAATGCAGATGTTGTATACACAGACTTTGCAAAGGCATTCGACAAATGTGACCATGTGATCGCACACAAAATGAGGTCAATGGGTATAACTGGTAAAGTAGGATGCTGGATACTATTTCTTGTCGAACAAAACACAGTAAGTAAAATAAAATTCGAGTCCAAGCACAGTTAAAAGCTCTGCACCTCAAGGTACAGTCCTTGCACCACTGCTGTTCCTTATTCTCATCAGATAGACAAAAATAAAAGTCACAGCCGCGTGTCATCCTTTGCAGGCAGATGACAAATCAGCATGAAAATTATCTCTGCTGAAGATAATTAATATCTGCTTGAAGATTTTCAACAAGTTTTCGACTGGGCAACAGAAAATAAAATGAGGTTCAACAGTAAAATTGCAGGTACTCTTGTACGGGAAAAATGAGGATCAAACATAATGCAGGGTAGAAAACACAATCGAATCTTCCCATATTAGAAAAACAGCACGTAAAGGATTTGAGAATAATGATGTCCGACGACTTTACGTTTAGGGAGCATAACCAAGCAAATATTGCGTCAGCCAGAAAAAAATGATCGGATGAATTACGAGAACTTTCAAATCCAGGGATCCCATCACAATGGTTGTACTCAAGTCGCTTTTGTTCCGTCTTTAGTACTACTCGGTACTCACTTCCCCCATTCAGAACAGGAGAGATTGCTGAAATAGAGGGAAATACAGAGAACATATACGGCACGCATAGACGCGATAAAGCACCTACATTATTGGGATCGTATCAAAGTTCTCCAAATGTACTCACTAGAAGAGACGAGAGAGATACCAAATAATACACATGGAAAATACTGGAGGGCCAAGTACCAAATCTACACAGTAAAATAACTTACAGTAATGAACGATATGGAAGAAAATGCAGAATAGAACCAGTGAAGAGCAGGTGCGCCATAGGTACAATCAGAGAACACTGTATAAACATCAGAGGTCCGCGGTTGTTCAACGTCCTCCCAGCGACTAAGAAATATTGCCGGAACAACAGTGGACATCAAGTGGAAACTAGATTTTTTCCTCCAATGAGTGCCGGACCAACTGGGCTGCGGTGGGTATGCGGGCCTGCAGGCCGCTCCAAGCAACAGCCTACTGGACCAAACTCTTGAAAGTCGTGCCTGGCCTCGGGTCGGGCTTGGGAGTAGAACTCCCAGAACCCCATCAACCAGGCCTCTGTATCAAGCAGACCTCGGTAACGCCAGAGGTTGGTAGGCCTTAGTAACAACCCACAACATTGAATTCATATGTCAATAACGAAAAGCAATTTTGCAAAAGTTAAAGAAATTTACAATGTATTTGCACAATACTTTAAATTAGTATGAACAAAATTGTAGCTTCAATTTTTCTAGACTGAAATTTCTACTCTTTGACAACCTGACCACAACAAAATGTGCCGGGTTCAAATCCACAGGAAGCCAAGGCATCTGAACAACTTTCTCTCGCCCGATTTCTGTCCAAGTAGGAGTTCCTAGCACCCAGGCGTTATAAAATAAGTATTAAATCCTCGAGGACGGTATTCCGCCTCTGACCTCGATAAACTTAAGTACAGGCCTTTTGTCCTCGGCAACAGCAATTTCTGTATATTGCACTAGGCGACCTCTATCACCTTCAATACATTAGAGCTTCAGTACAAGCCAACCAATACAATGTTTATAAGCTTTACGTCATGAGCAATGGGGTCGTTTGACATTTAACTTTAGCAATGCCTCAACTCGTCCCAGACATCACCCAGCCTTCCAATCCTTACCCATACAAAATTATCAGAAATAATAATTTATGACGATGACAATTTGTGTGTAATGTAATAATTTTTAACCAAGCAAATTTTAATTACCGAAGCAATAAATATTAATGACTTTAGTAGACAAGTAATAATATTCAAGGGTCCAAACTGACCGTTAACAGCATGGTCGGAGCCGTGGGTGCCAAGATGGCTCCAGCGTATCTCAGAGTATTTGTAGCAGTAGACGGAGAGGTCCGAGGCAGACGGGGTGGTGCACCTGGGGGCGTCGACGTCTACAGGCACCAGTCTGGCCACCTGTACGCCCTCGCTCTCCCCACTCTCCAACACCACCGACACCTGCAACACCGGTGGGACACCGCATTAGGGTACAAGTCAAGATACATGATGTTCCCGAACCTATTTTAAGACGTCCCTATCCAACCTAGACCAAACCGAGTTAATATAGCCTAACAAATATAGCCTATGAGGTTTAGCAAAGAAACACTAGCTTTTTCGTTTTGTTTGTCTGATCTGCCTCTTATGGGCAGAAAGGCCTTCTACAGTAACCAATATTCTTACCGTCTAGCTATTTGCCATTTAGTAAATTCATTAAACCAGCTCAACAGCTAATTAGTCGACGACTAATATTTGATTATATTTAAATACCAAAGACAATGGAGAGACTTTCCTTCAGTTGGCGCGCCTGGAGGGGGATGCTTGTGGTGGCACTACCGTTGGCACTGCCCAGCCTCAGGTCCACCGGGGAGAGGCAGGAGCTGCTCCTCGCCGGCATGGCCCCCACCCCACACGCCACCAACCTATACAAAATTCAATTTTTAACATAACGGGCTCACCATAGCCCGTGCTACATGGACATTTCGTTCCGAGTAGCTTAAATCTAAAAACCATTTAATGTATAATTTCTGCCAAATAACCATTAAAATTAAAACAAGCCAGTAAATCATCTGACAAGCAGCACTATGAAGTTTTAATTTATTTTTTTGAGTCCTAGTCGTACAGATGTATCAGGCTTAGTTAACGCTTACAGGGTTACTGATGGGTCCTCAAGTTGATCAGTTACCCGGTCACCCTTTAGTGGCCCGTCTGGAGGTTAAGGTCATGGAATACTAATCCTCAACGAGAGGAAGTTCAGAAGTTATAAAAAGTGGTGTAAATTAAAATTAGAGAGAAAATTATATTTTCGTTCATTACTTAAGGCGCTACATTAACGAAACCAAAAGTTAGAAAAACATTTCGCGGGTCGCTTTAACTTGCTAGACTAATTTTTGGGTTTAGTTCTTTAGCAAATTATATGGTGTAACTTTCCCCGCGACCAACCACACGACGGGTTATGGGGCATAAAATACAAGTCCAGCGTCCCTCCCAAGCCAACGTTACCAACACAGCCTACCCTCCCAAGCCAACGTTACCAACACAGCCTACCCTCCCAAGCCAACGTTACCAACACAGCCTACCCACCAAAACTTCTGCCTCACATTTAAAATGTTAAAAATTCAGAAACGGCTTACTTGCCGAGGCGGCGTCATCCGTAAGGAGTCATTTGAACGTGTAGGGGACCGGGGGGGGGGGGGGGCGGTACCCACCTGCCGTAGTAAACAATTAACCAGGAGGATTGACAAACCACTGGGAAGCTGTACTCGCACGACCGTCGGGATCACAACGTACAAGTAAAATGCTTAATAAAACCTTAATTTGACTTTAGACTGGAGGATGGGTTGATTAATGGCCGTAGCACTTAACAGTAACCAGGCTAAATCTGCTCTTCCAGCAGGTTGAACAGTCCCGCCGGAAGCTTACCCCTTCCTAGGGGAAAACTGGGTCTAACCGGCGGGAAATCATCAATCCCGTATATTAGTTTCAAATAAAAATAAAAAATTACTGTCCCGAACAGTAATTCAGTAATAACGGGGGCCAGATAGCCGAGTGGACAGCGCTCTGGCCTCGTAATCCTAGGATTCAGGTTCGATCCCAATGATGGTAAAAACAAAATTGGCAGTGTTTTTCCATCCTATTGCTACCTAGCAATAGGATGGAACTGTTACCTACTGTTACCTAGCAGTAAAAAAGGTACCGGGGAGTTAGACAGCCGTTACGTGCTGCTTCCTGTGTGTGGGGGGAAGGGGGGGTATTAGTAGTTAGTAACAGTTGATTAACAGTTGAGAGGCGGGCCGAAAGAGCGGAGCTCAACCCCCGGAAGCACAACTAGGTGAATAGTAATGTTTAGTTTACTTTAGTTCATCCTAATTTAGAATAGTTTAAAAATTAAATTCCAGTGAACATTAGGTGTTGCTATCCCCCAAGTTATGACTTTTAAGCTATAAAAGTATATTGAATAATGCTCGTCTTCCATTACACATCCACGTTTTATAGGTCTACATCACCCGGTTAAACAAAAATAACCACGAAACGCTCTTTCAAGCCTAATCCAAAATTGGTGAAGGGTTGTAACTTACAGGAGGCCGAGGAGGGCAAGAGAGACGCGGACTGTGAGAGCGGTCATGATGGACTGATGGCTGGCTCGCCCTCACACCTACCAGTTGGGACTCTCACCTCTTACCTGCTGTCTGATTGGCTGCTGCTTCCTCCCTGGCTCGCTCATTGGCTGTTGTTTCATAATTGGTTTTGTAAATAACAATTACCAGATCTTTCATTGTCTTCTCCGGTCAACACGATCTCCTAGTCCGCTGTTTTTTATTTACCCCTTCGAAAAAATGGAATGGTTTTGCCTGCAAACAAACATTTGAACCTAAACAACCAACTTACCCGTTCGAGGCTGATGAGTAGAAAACCTCAATATTCCGGTGCTTTATTTTTTTAAATTATGTCGTATTTTTAATGGATTAGTCGATTCCATTAAAAATAGGAAGTATTAGTCCTGGACAATGTTTAAGGCTGAAATATACTCGTGGGTTTGTCATTGTTGCGCCTTAGTAACCCTCCAGAGGTTGGTAGGCCTTAGTAACCCTTCAGAGGTTGGTAGGCCTTAGTAACCCTCCAGAGGTTGGTAGGCCTTAGTAACCCTCCAGAGGTTGGTAGGCCTTAGTAACCCCCCAGAGGTTGGTAGGCCTTAGTAACTCTCCAGAGGTTGGTAGGCCTTAGTAACCCTCCAGAGGTTGGTAGGCCTTAGTAACCCTCCAGAGGTTGGTAGGCCTTAGTAACCCTCCAGAGGTTGGTAGGCCTTAGTAACCCTCCAGAGGTTGGTAGGCCTTAGTAACCCTCCAGAGGTTGGTAGGCCTTAGTAACCCCCCAGAGGTTGGTAGGCCTTAGTAACTCTCCAGAGGTTGGTAGGCCTTAGTAACCCTCCAGAGGTTGGTAAGTTTTAGTAACCCTCCAGAGGTTGGTAGGCCTTAGTAACCCTCCAGAGGTTGGTAGGCCTTAGTAACCCCCCAGAGGTTGGTAGGCCTTAGTAACCCTCCAGAGGTTGGTAGGCCTTAGTAACCCTCCAGAGGTTGGTAGGCCTTAGTAACCCTCCAGAGGTTGGTAGGCCTTAGTAACCCCCCAGAGGTTGGTAGGCCTTAGTAACCCTCCAGAGGTTGGTAGGCCTTAGTAACCCTCCAGAGGTTGGTAGGCCTTAGTAACCCTCCAGAGGTTGGTAGGCCGTAGTAACCCTCCAGAGGTTGGTAGGCCTTAGTAACCCTCCAGAGGTTGGTAGGCCTTAGTAACCCTCCAGAGGTTGGTAGGCCTTAGTAACCCTCCAGAGGTTGGAGGCCTTAGTAACCCTCCAGAGGTTGATAGGCCTTAGTAACCCTCCAGAGGTTGGTAGGCCTTAGTAACCCTCCAGAGGTTGGTAGGCCTTAGTAACCCCCCAGAGGTTGGTAGGCCTTAGTAACCCCCCAGAGGTTGGTAGGCCTTAGTAACCCTCCAGAGTTTAGTAGGCCTTAGTAACCCTCTAGAAGTTGATAGGCCTTAGTAACCCTCTAGAAGTTGATAGGCCTTAGTAACCCTCTAGAAGTTGATAGGCCTTAGTAACCCTCTAGAAGTTGATAGGCCTTAGTAACCCTCTAGAAGTTGATAGGCCTTAGTAACCCTCTAGAAGTTGATAGGCCTTAGTAACCCTCTAGAAGTTGATAGGCCTTAGTAACCCTCTAGAAGTTGATAGGCCTTAGTAACCCTCTAGAAGTTGATAGGCCTTAGTAACCCTCTAGAAGTTGATAGGCCTTAGTAACCCTCTAGAAGTTGATAGGCCTTAGTAACCCTCTAGAAGTTGATAGGCCTTAGTAACCCTCTAGAAGTTGATAGGTCTTAGTAACCCTCTAGAAGTTGATAGGCCTTATTAACCCTCTAGAAGTTGATAGGCCTTAGTAACCCTCTAGAAGTTGATAGGTCTTAGTAACCCTCTAGAAGTTGATAGGCCTTATTAACCCTCTAGAAGTTGATAGGTCTTAGTAACCCTCTAGAAGTTGATAGGCCTTATTAACCCTCTAGAAGTTGATAGGCCTTATTAACCCTCTAGAAGTTGATAGGCCTTATTAACCCTCTAGAAGTTGATAGGTCTTAGTAACCCTCTAGAAGTTGATAGGCCTTATTAACCCTCTAGAAGTTGATAGGCCTTAGTAACCCTCTAGAAGTTGATAGGCCTTAGTAACCCTCTAGAAGTTGATAGGTCTTAGTAACCCTCTAGAAGTTGATAGGCCTTATTAACCCTCTAGAAGTTGATAGGTCTTAGTAACCCCAAGAGTTTGGTGGGTTTTGTCCAGGGCTGTCGTCGGATGAGGTTGTGTTGACCTCGCTTCTCAGTTTTGACCCGGCGCTTGGTGTGACTGTACCTGTTGTGAGGCCTCACGGCCGTGCCGGCCTGTGGTATGGAGCCGCCCTTGCCTCCTGTCCGCCATGCTGACACAATTGGGCTGGAATTCTCTGGGTTGGCGACTTACCTGGCCGTGGAAGTGGTGTCGATTGACCTGCTGCAGGTGGATGTGGAGGTTTTGTGCAGCTTATCTCCAGTCGCCGGGCAGTGGTGAAGCACACTCCCAGGATCACCCAAGACTGCAGACACACCTTCCCTGGCAGCACGCGCAGAGGCCTCCGGGACCTCCAGAGGGGGTAAGTCCTCCTCCCGGGACAGGGTAACACTGGCAGCACCACAATCATGGCAACCTGCAGCAATGTGCCCGGAGAGGCCACACTGGAAACATGTCCTGGGCTGGCCAGCGTAGAAAATGTAGACATTAAACCCCATAAGCAGAACGGAGGACAGGATCGGTGACCTGAGGCACATGGTGAAAGTATAGGTCCCATTTGAGACGCCCCGGGACAATTTACATGAGGACAATTCATGTAAACATATTAAAACATTATCATGCTAGAGAGGAATTAGAACTGCCTTCAGCGAGTCAAATTCCTGACTCAGCGGTGCTGACTCATGGCTTAGGCGACGAGTCAGGGGATGAGGATGACCCTCTGTCATCTTTCATCAGTAGTCAGGTGCAGTCTCGTCACCCCCATGGTAACGAGATCTCGCACTGTACAGTAACAGTAACTTCCTTGGTTAAGTATCATTTGGTATTCATTAGAATTTCCTGTAGAGGCAATGATGTGATTTTATTAACTGTACTTAACTCGGGTAGCAGCTTTTACAGTGCTCTGGGGTTCCACCTTCCATCAAACCCAGAGTTATAACTATGCTTCCGCCATGTTGTTGTCTGTCTGTTCCCAGGTCTGATTGGTACACCGAACCAGTTGTTCCAGCCTCACGTGAACCCTTGTCTGTAAAGACCCAGGGGGGGGGGGGGGAGGCACATTACACTAAGCCCTCCCTCTCCAGACCCAGTAACTCACACACTAGTTACTTTGGGGTAGGTGACATCACACCAGTCACCCGGCCGACACCTCACGTCACTAACGAGGTTGTCAGGGCCAGCAGGCTGTCCACATTGAAGCAGTCACCGGATGTCAACGTGATCAACACCGTGGGTAGCTGTCTTGAGGTCACCACTACCCACCAGCTGCACCGTCAACACTGCAGCCAGACCAGCAGTGTTGGATGAGAGGTCAAGAGAATGGGCGAGCCAGTAGCAGTACTCAAACATTTCTCGTCGGAGATGCTCAAAGCAAATGTAAGGAGCATGAGTAGAGAGTACCGGAGACATCCCACTGAAAGCAACCAAGAGTTGTTTAAAACTGTGTGTCAAGTAGCCAGGGAAGAGAAGATTAATGAGCGGGAAAGACAATGGCTTGAGTTCACTAGCTCTATTGGACGGGAAACATCTGCAAGACAAGTGTGGGCAAAAATTCAGATAGCTAAGGGGGGCAGAACCCGGTCTGCGGCTCACAAAGACCCCCAGGGTAAGGCTGAGGAACTAATTCACAAGTGGAGTGATGCAGCATCCTCCTCCTCCCTCCCTGCAGAAGTAAGCAGGGAACAGCTCCTCTGACATAATAATAATAATAATAATAATAATAATAATAATAATAATAATTTATTTAGGAACAGTACATACATAGTTGCAGAGTTACAGTACAAACATTCTGTTAGATTTAAAGATAGAGGTAGTACATACAATACCTAAAGCCACTAGTACGCATAGCGTTTCGGGTGTAATGACCGCTTACCCTGTCGTAATAACCGCGGCCTTTATTGTAATAACCCAATGTTCCCCAGTATTAATCCTGTTATCTTGTGATCTCTCATAATCGTACTATACGCTCTCTGTTGTACATCTCTGTCTCTCTTCAACTCAATACCCCAGCTTAACACTGTTACAGTCCAGCATGACCCCTCACTGGACGGCCACGTATATAAGAGGAATATTAAATGAGGAAGATACACCAAGGACAAGGGTTATTCGCTTATTACTAATTATAAAATAAAAACCATTAAAGCACTGCCACCACCTTCCCGACCAACCATACCTGAATGTGTCAATCACCGATCCCCCAGGAAGGCAAGGAATCAGTAACCATGGGACTCCGGGTAATATGAATTTCAGAAATAAATTTTGGAAAATTAGTTTGTGTAATTTACGTTACTTATTTGAATCCAAGGGCAACTTTAGTATCTATTAATAGTAGGAGAACATGGGGGCTTCCAATACAACACCTAAAAATGACAAAGTAGCAAAATATATCAAAGGGGAGTTAAGTGAATACCACTGGACAAGCTATACAATTTATTTTATGAAACATGTAAATTAAGACAATTTGAACACATCACCTATTCTATTTCCCAAGAGGCACAATGGATATTTATTGTGGACACAAAACTCAAGTGCTACTATACCTTAAATACCCGCACTACGGCCACGATGTTGATGGCTGCCCTCAGCCCCGAGGATACGGGCGTGCGGCCCTGTTCCTAATACACTCCCAAGACACACTGATGAAATTTAGTTTTTCCAACTTATTGCTGGGAAGGATTACTCCTCCCACCATCTAATACAGCCCCAGGCTCCACCCATATTTTTGGCAATGGCCAACCATTTAACACGTAGGCCTGAGGTCTGGCTCTCTAGGGCCAACAAGGACTTGGCCCTTATCTCAGGCCAATCACCTTCACTGATCTGCCGTGGAAAGCTACACGAATTCCTGAAGATTGAGTCAGCT